TTACGGGCTTCCTTGGAAAGGTCCTTCCATTTTGAGATTCCATACCATTTTAATTGGGCAGTGATTTGCTTTATTTCGATGACTTTTTTGCTTGAAAAGTAAATCCTTTGGTATTTTGAATTGTAGGGCTGGAGAACTTGTGCAGTCACAACATTCGGCAGGGGCGGTAGTGATTTGACTGCCACAACTATCGGCAAAGCCTTGGGGTTGCGTGAAATTCAGGTCAGTGGAGACCCTTTATGCATGTCCAATGTTATCTTGCTACTTATGCTGCATTTTTGCTAACGGTTTGATTTGTAATATGTCAATCTTTACTCATGCAATGTCCGTATAGGTCTAGAAAGATTTTGTACTTATTGTGCACGTGTTGATTCTGTTATCATCTACAAAGACAATGTGATGTTTTGAAGGTTGGATATACAAGTTTTAATCTTTAATCAATCTCTCAGGTGTGGAAAGATGTTGATGGTGTTTTGACCTGTGATCCTAACATATACTCCCGTGCAGAACCAGTACCCTTTTTAACTTTTGAAGAGGCTGCTGAGCTTGCATATTTTGGTGCACAGGTATGATGAAATTGCAATTAACATAGTGATAGTTTTTCCATTGAGTATCTTTTGTTGTAAGGGTTGGTGGTATAAAGGAGTGGCCTCTTTCAGACCCTAAATCTATCTTGTCTAAGTGCTAGTCTCAAGGTTTAACGCCCGATTGAGTGAAAGAATTGGACACCATCTATATAAATTTCCTGGCTAATTGCTTGATTGGATCCCTGTGCATGACAGTACTTATTTCCTTTGTATGACCAATTAGAATGACATCTGTTGACCTCCGCTACACAATTTCTTTCATGAATGATATCTGTTGACCTCCGCCATGCAACTTCTTTCAGGAATCGCAATTTTTCTAAGCTAGGTGGTGTTTTCCTGAAAAAGTTGCATGTCATCTTTTCTGTTCTTCATGACCCAGATCTTACCAGTTAATTTCTGTCCTTCTGCTTTGGGATCCAAGTAGATGGCACCATTAGGAATGATCAGGACATTTTTATGTATTGATAGGATTTAGTTGCCAATAACAAAAAGACAAAGGTTTAATGCAGCCACGTATTCATTGGATAAAAAATGTGTTTCAATTAATCCTTCTACAGGTCCTCCATCCGCAGTCTATGAGGCCAGCTAGGGAAGCTGACATACCTGTTAGAGTTAAAAACTCGTACAATCCCAAGGCTCCTGGGACCCTGATTACCAGAGCAAGAGACATGAGTGAGGTTTGTTGAGTTCCAGTCATAAGCTTGATACCATTTATGAAATTATCCTAAATCTTATGCAGTTCTTTTGCCATTGGCAGGCTGTACTAACTAGCATTGTCTTGAAACGTAATGTTACCATGTTGGACATTGTTAGCACTCGCATGCTTGGTCAGTTTGGTTTCCTTGCTAAGGTAAAAACAATCATATCATCAAGAGACAATGCTCCCTACTCTGGGCTTATGAGACTACCTTAATCTGATACCAATGTTTCTGTCCTAAATCAGGTTTTCTCTATCTTCGAAGATTTGGGCATATCCGTTGATGTTGTAGCCACTAGTGAAGTTAGTATATCCTTGACATTGGATCCGTCGAAGCTCTGGAGCAGAGAATTAATACAGCAGGTACATGCTATTGTTAATTGGTCATATTATACTTTCATGATGGATTTCTCCAGTTCGGAATATTGGCTCTGTGAAGGATGCTTGAACTCATTCTGCTTTCTGTTTTACACCTTTGCCTTACCTAATCTAGCCATGGGGTATAACCTTTAAATTTAGCAGGAGTTGGATCACGTCGTGGAGGAGCTTGAGAAAGTAGCAGTTGTGAATCTCCTTCAGCGCAGATCAATCATTTCTTTGATTGGGAATGTTCAGAGATCCTCATTAATATTAGAAAAGGTTAGTTACGCATTTGCAATCATTACTCATGATTGCTACTTAGTGTTTTATCATGAGAACTACAGTGCTTTTAGAACATGTTTTCTAAGCAGCTTTTGGTACTCTTGCTGTGTTACTGTAGATCTCTCTCTCTCATAAGTTATCTGCCACCTACAAATTTTGCATCTCTATGCGTTTTAGGATGGAGTAGTGAATTAATTTGCTTTTATAAGAACAAAAGTATTGTCTAATTAAGGATCTATTTTAATGGTTTACCTACTTAGAATTATACTCTTTTGAGTAACTTTTGCCACTTATTATAGGAACATGTGATAGTATAGATGCTAGATATGGCTAATGAAGTTAGCCTTGTGCTTTCTCATACTCTTGACTAACTAAAATGTGATAGTCGTTTGTTGCCTTTGTTGCTATGTCTTTTCTGTTCTTCCAAAAAGAGTCAATTTGCAAACATTCTCTTTTTCCTACAGAAACAGTTAGTAAGATACAAGATGGTAAATAGATTTGTAAGTGGAAGCCTGAAACTACCCAAGTCTATACCTTTTAGAGATGCAATCTCTGGCAATATCTGGTTCAATTCAATGATAAAGCAGCAAAATTCCTCGGACTTTGATCTAAATTATCACTTTTACATCCATGAAACTTTTGCAAACTACCCCATCAACTTGGGAATTGTTCCCGATAGCTGCGGTTTCCTCGGACTTTGATCTAAATTACTACTTTTATATCCATGAAACTGTTACCCTAGGAAATGATAAGAAGAATTTGACAACTCCATTTCCTCCAAACCTCTGTTCTCCTAGGGCGGTGCTTCCTAAATGAGTTGGTTTTGCTAGGTTGGCTTTCCTTAACTGGAAGTGTGAATGATCCTTGGTGTTGTTATGGCAGGCTTTCCACGTTCTTCGGACTAATGGAGTGAATGTTCAGATGATCTCTCAAGGTGCATCTAAGGTATCTATGGCTTACGCTGTTCAGCTCATGGTTATGCTTCATTTGCTCGTGGATGTTCCTAAACAGATATGATAACATAGGCGCAACATATGTGGTTGCTTGGTGAAAGCTCTGGGATGCAGAAAATAGCTTGAAATCTGTAGCTCCTGCACTGTATACCTCTTTTGGTAGACGATCCTAATTGATCTTTTAATTTGGTAATCAGGTGAACATCTCATTGATAGTGAACGACAGTGAAGCAGAACAGTGTGTCAGGGCTCTTCACTCTGCGTTCTTTGAGAGCAATCTTTCAGATCTTTACTGGGGAAGCAGATCAGGAAATGGTTCGGTACCAACAGAGTCGAATGGATATTGACGTATGCTGCTTGTTGGGTGAAATCCTAGTTGGCATACCGGGAATTCACCCCACCCACATTTGTCTTCAGTCCTTTTGTCTGGTTTGTGGTCTGGTATTGTACCGTATATTGAAATATCAATTGAACTATGTAATTTGGTCCGCGCTGCACGGGATGAGATATTATTTATGGTGCACAAGATAAGATAAAGAGAGGCGTATGTTTTTGGGAGGAATCCAGCCCCCCTTGATGAGTTGTGGCAAAGATTTGACAAAAGTGCGTGCGTGCGAAGGAATGGTTGGTTTGTTGTAATGATCATCAGGTCATGAAAAGCAGCCAGCGGCATTGCACTTTTTGATCTCGTGCTGGTCTTTGGGGAAGTTTGAAATTGTGGGCCGTGGGGAATTGTTTTGCCTTGCGGCTCTTCAAAGCGCTCCATCACGGGCATTTGATCGACATAGATTTGGAGAACTAATCGTGTTGTTGGGTCCAAGGGCGACCCGTTAACGTGTTCAAGCGTCATCTCTACTAGCTGGGCTCTGTAGTCCGTTCCCGAGCAGTAGGAGAGTTATCAGTGCTTGAGGCGCACTCAGTGCATGTGTAACTGTGACTGAATAACGGAAGAAAAATTGATAAAATTATTATTTTTTGTTGGAAATTGAAGTATTATGGGAAAAGTAAATTATAGTACTCCCTTTGACTCATATTGATGGTTCTAGTTTTTTTTTTCACACAGTTTAAGAAAAAATAGTTAAATTTGTTGGAAAAACAAATTTAGATTGCTATTTTTCTAAAATATCCTTACATTAAATAAAATTGGCTTTTCATGTATCAATATGTTTTGGAAAATCTAAATGCATTAAATTGGCTAGGTTATATTCAATATTAACAAAATATATTAAATAAAGTAGTTTATACTTTATAGTAAGAACAACTTACATTAAATAAATAAGGGTATTTGAGAGAAATTAAAAGACAATTACATTTTTCAATTGAAAAGTGGACTACAATTTGGGACAGACGAAAAAGAAAAACATAACTACTATCAAAGTGAGACGGAGGGAGTACTTCAACAAGTAATAATATAATTTCTCTTTGAAGCTATATATGCTGATTTACCAGGCAAATAAATTTGTGACGGCTTATTTAGTGAAAGGATACTAAAGAAATTAGGATTATCTGCGGAAGCATTCTATGCTGCAGGAAAGTAAAAATTTAAAAGAGTTGAACACAACATAAATGATGTAGCTCTCTCTAAAGATGATGAGGGTAAATTTAGCTGTGTAATAGGACAAGTGCCATAATTTGTTTACAATGCCGAGGAGACTTTCGATTGAGGTCAAAATGTAGAGGTTCTGGATTTTAATCTTTCTACTCCCTCTTCACTCCTTAAATTTCATCCTTCTTTTGTTAGGGAAATTTTTTTTTTGTTTTACATCAGAAGCGTACGAAATATGAGACAAGATAATGAAATTTTGTTTTACGTCAAAAGCGTCCGAAGGATGAGACAAGATAATGATGATAAAAATGAAAGAAAGACAGGAAAAAAAAAAAAAAAAAAATATATATATATATATTATATATATATATATAATATATATATATATATATATATATATTATATATGAGGTGTGGGGTGAGGAGAGCATGGGCCTGAAACTCAAAAGCCCAGCTGGAAGGGAACAAACGTGTGTCGTGGATTTGATTTGAGAAGAAGCTCTCAATATGTAAAACCCAACACAGCCCAGCCCAGCCCACACCTAAATTAAAATTTTAAATACCAGTACTAGGGTTTCTTTTTGGATGAGCTACTGGTTGGCCGGCCTAGCAAGGGTCTTCTTCTTCCCACTCCCAGGTGTAGTAGCAATATATATACTACTACTCCATTATCATTGGACGGACACACAGAGATAGACGAAGGTCTCGGAGGTAGATTTAAATGGCGTGCCATATCGATTTCAGATGCTTAGACGAAGGTTTCGGAGGCAAAACTCTCAAGCGCAAGAGATCCCTCCACCTCCAGCATCAGAATCATGACCATTCCGCCGCCACGGATGACATGGAGTTGGAGGATTTTGAGGCGGACGAGGATAACACCAACCTTCCGTCCAACAAGAGGCAGGCGGTGACCTCATCGGACAACCCGAACAAGCCGGTGGGTCTGCCCACCAGCTCCGGCAGCCGGAACGTGTCGGGGAGGAATTGGAAGCAGGTGAGGACGCTCAGGGCGTCGGCGAGGAACGCGAGCAGGAAGAGGAGCACGACGGCGGAGGAGCAGCGGAAGAGGGAGAGGGAGATAAAGAAGGCGTATCAGGAGAGGATGAAGGAACTGAAGGAGGAGATAAGGCAGAACAAGGCGGAGAAGAGGAAGAAGAGGGAGGAGAGGGAGAAGAGGAAGCAGGACAACATCCTGAGGTCGGGAACCAAGCTTCAGAAGATCACTAATCCTAAGACTCTCAAGAAGATTTCCAAGTCTGCTAAGCAGCGCAAGTTGCTCAAGCTTCTTCCTGATGCTGATCCTCCTGCCAAGTAGTAGCCCTATCAATCCTTTTGAATCCAATTAGTGGGCGACTTTTCAAAATTTCAATTAGTCGTCATGAGTTTTAAGGCAGCATAGCATGGCTCATGATGTGCAAAGAAGAAGGAGGAGAAGAAGAAGAAAGGAGTGCGCCATCCCCCGCTTATAGATCAGTTTTCGAAGATAATAGTAGAGTAGATCCATGTCATGTGTAGTGTATTCCTCGTTTGTTTGCGCGGACGGCAGCATCACATATAGAGCATCATATTAATTAATCACACTTACCTCTCAAGCAAAGCATCCAGAATTTGTAGTTGCAAGAAAAATAAAAAGTAATATTCACGTTCATTATTCCAGAATGCAAAGCATTTTATTATTTCACAACATCACCACATTGATGGTCTATGATTTACTTTCAGAAATAGAAATAGGAGTAGGTTAATACCACTGCTACAATTAATTATTACAGTAGTATGTGATATAATAACACGCAGGGGCTGAGGCACCGAGGCAGCAAGTGCAAGGGACAAGGAGTTCACTGCTACCTGCATTTTGGTGTTGGTGTGTATATGTTGAACTGGTTCTTGATTGCAAAATTAGATTGGAATTGGATGCTTTGGAGTTGGAACTTCGGACCACATTTGTAGAGCTCGAACGGTACCCGAAAAGGCCACCCCTCCCCTACATACTTTTCCAGGGAGTGGAGGATGGTGGGTTGTGGATAAACCGTTTTTACTTTTTTCAAAGAAATTTCATAATTGGTGGTCACCCACCCGTCGTCGTTTACGTGCGTAAAAATTGTTACTGCTACCAGAACCAGCAGCATTAGATGCCCTGTCTAAAAGGCCCAAATGTTCAAAACCGTAACCTACTTGGGGCCCCTAGCAGTTCAACATTAATCTATTGTTCCTTACAACTGGCAATGCAGATACCAGCTTTCTTAATAAAAGCAGTAATTTTCCGTTCCCTAAATCAAGAACATTGATAAAAAAAAAATTGCCAGAAACAGCCGAGAGGCTGATTTCCGCTCATGCCTTCTCATTCTTACAACTGAAGGTACTGTAGCCTACATACTCGACATGTAGGACACAGTTACATGAAAATCAGTGAGGGCATGCTTTCCTCTCATATCAGTCAAAGCTTTTCACAACAAAAGACAGAACATTCCCAATGCATGAATTCGGGATTACAAATAGCTCATGTCTGGATGTCGTAGTCCTGACCTTTCAGAGGTCTAAAAGAAACCAAATCATATCAAACTTTTTCTTCAAGTCCATGACTCAACATGGATCTTCAGAATCAAAGCCCCCATTAATGCAAGTTGAATAATACCCAGTCAAGCACTCGCACCAAGCACAGGAACAATGGGCAGAGATAACTGGAGTAGAGTCATTTGTATAAGTACCTGAGCCAATATAAATCATTTGACCAAAAACCAGGATGATCAGGCTTTTCAAACATACAGATGCATGACTCTCAGACAGCCCCGTGTATTTTCTCAATCATCAATCAGAACTCAAAGAATGTCTGACACACACCAAATCTTCCAATTTGTTCCCATCCATTTTGTACAGAGAGACCCCATGCATCTGCATAAAATGATCCCGTGCTTCTTGTCTTAAACTATTGAAAGGCATAACTTCCCATTTGCTGTAATTTGAATTTTTCCTTACACGACTCATGTCTGGAGATCCAGATACAGGGCCCCTGCTGTAGCTACCTGCATCGCCCCATACCTTACAACTGCCAAATTGCCCAAATGCACCTTCTTGGCCAGATAAAATCCTCTTCAAGCGCAATGCTGCCATATGAGCCCTCTGTATTGTTTCTCGGCTTGGAACATCAGACCAGTTTTGCTTTCTTTTTGATCTCATGGGAGAATGGATCCTAATAACCTGAACGGTGAATAGTATTGTATTGGTGAATGTACCCAAAACAATCAATCTCGGAAAATCAAAACAAGCAAGTTATTACTTACACCAAGACACTCTAGGAGTTGATAGTATGCTCTTCCCTGAAGTGGATTATGCCCTTTCTTGGGCTCAGAAAAGTACCTGGTCCTGAAAAATGGTGATTTTTGAGTTATTGGATTTTTTCCTTTTCTCTTTTTTTTTTTTTTTTTTGGGGGGGGGGGGGGTGTTTAGTGGCTGCATATATTCACAAAATGACCATAAATGTTTTTTCGACCTCTGAAGAATATAAGCAAAGACTGACCATTCCGTGTAGCCAGGATCTACAGTGAAACCATATATGTCGACATCATCACACATCGAAAGTGCCAATTCTATTGATTTCATTCCAGTTCCCTTGGCACCCCGCCGCAGGACAATACCTTGGAAGAGATACACAGGATTTGGGATGCCCTACAACAAAATTGTGAAGGTATAATCCTGGCTCATTTACTTTGCATGTCAACTCCAAAAGAAATTTTTTTTTCTAACAACAAATAGATAGTGTACATACGGTAACTAAATGCTGATTGGAATGCTTAGTAAGTAGTCCCCTGATTTTATCATGATAGCCTTGTCCTCCTTGTAAATAGCGTTTCCATCTTAGTTCGACAAGAATTAAATGTTATCACAGAGGTGACACACTTTTATCCCAAAATAATAATCTCCTAGTGTTCTAATGAGCTCACCAGGGCCATCCAGGTTAATTTCTATATTATTCTTGAATTCAATACTGTGTTCTGAATTTGTAATTTATTCCAAGAAGTCCTTTAGTAGATAATTTCATCATCTTAATCATTGGGACTGAAATCCTATTCTCAAAGCTCATAAATTGCACTTTATCTTTGAAAGGATAAACACAAGGCATTCAACAAAGTACCTTATCATTGCATTGAAATCTCTATGAGTTAGACTTTTGATAATTAGAGCTAGGTCGGCTGCAACAGCGAAGGGAAAAGATAATCACAAGGCATCCTATAATAAAAAGTACCTTTATCATTGCATTGAAATCTCTATGAGTGACACTTTTGATAATGAGTACTTCGTCAACTGCAACAAAGAACCAAGGAAAAAGTTTAAGTGCTGATGACTGATGCTTATCATGACACTGCCAATATTCTGCTTCCTTTTGATCTTGAGAAAACTGAAAGATCAATGCCACACTCTACAGAAACTAATAAAGAAGTTAAAAGGTTTTGAACACATTTTTTTTTTATCAACAAAAATTTAAACAAGTCATTATTGCTTGAGTGATCATCATAAAAGAACTCAGTGCATAGTCTCATTACAATATCAAGAGATCTGAGAAGAAACAATCTAAGAAAATTGACAAATAAAATTGACAAAGAAAGGACAAATTATGCATTCGGCAGAAGGTGAGGAACCAAATGTTTTACATCAAAAACTGTAAGAACTTGAAGCTAGATGCAGCCTAGCCATCACCATGCAGAGACCAGCACAAAGAAAATAATTGTGCCAAGTCAAGGAACTGTACAGGGCACCCAAAAAAAAAAAAAATTTACCTGATCCATTTAGGATTGTAACCATATTACGAGCAGCACCCCTTACTACCAACCGAAAATCCCTTTTCAGTCCAACATACTTGGCATATTTCTGGAAAAGTATAAAAGGACAAAGTCTGAAAAGAAATCCCAGAAATACACGTACATGATAAGAGTACCTAAAATTATTGGTTAATTCCCTCTATCTATACTGGTCACTTAACCTAATTAAAGCTACCAAACATGCATGACGGCATCTTTGTCTTTTTTTTTAGTAACTCAGTTAAGCATAAGAAAGTTCCCCTCGGCAGCAACCCCTTAGATGAATCTGAACCTTACTTCAATTTTGACAAGAAGCTAAGACATTTCATGATATGTGAAGTTCACTACAGAAGCATGGAAATGCATCTCAGTTTTAACTTTTCTAAGGTCAGCTCCATCAATTGTCATCAGTATTGTTAAAACTATACATTCAAGAATACAAAGACAAACCAGAAAGGCAGTGGATCACCAGGTGAATCATGGTATACGATGATTCACCTCTGCTACACAATCTTATTGCATGTACTCTGATAAGTTAAAAAGGAAAATCTAACAATTTATACCTCTGGCTAACCCCAAAAACAAAAATTATAAGGAAATCTGGAAGTACCTCATTTACAGGTGCCTCATTGTCTCGTATAACAGCATCATGACTATCAATTTCCTCACCAAACTCAGTCTTCAATAGATCTCCCGAATTTCCAACAACGGCACAGGTTGCAAACTGACGAGGGTGAAAGGGAGGCTTTGCTGGTAAAAGTAGATTAAGATGCTCCTCGCAGAGAGTCCTATTGTAGCACTTGTCTGCACCTCTGCGGCAAAAGGCAGTTAACAAAACAAGACCAGGAAAAGGAATATTTAAAGTTTTGAGGTCATCATATACAGAAAGGAAAAAAAGAAACTGCAAATTGTGTTGAAAAGAACATACAGCTGTGCTATTCTTTTAGCTGCATAGTCTAACCAGCCATCAGGACGAGCATCCAGGTATTCTCTTGTTAACACAGTAGTCATATTCCGATACTGCATTTCAGATAGTTAGTTCAGTTTGTGATTGTTGAAGTGGCTAGCCTAAAGAATAAAGAGTGAATAGGTCAGTAGAAACCTGTTCCCACAGAAGAAGGGCTTCACAGGTGTCATAAGTATACTCCAAGGGTTCAAAGATCTTAAATTGTTCATTATACTGCAAAGAAAATGTAATGCAATTGTGATGAAGAATTTCTGTTTTTCATTTTTTTTTGGGTTGGGGGGGGGTGGGGTGTTTCAAGGTTCAGCCAATATTGTAAAAATGTAGATGTGAAGATGTTAGTGAAGAAGAGACACGAACCCAGGTGCTATTAGTTCCTTGAGGGAACTTGAGTACCAGTTTACAGTGATCAATAATGATAGCAGTAAGTCCGAGGCCTCTGTTAGCCTACAAGCAAGTTTCAAAACTAAATCAGGGAAAAGCAGGAATTATGAAAGAATTGAGAGATGAATATTGAGTATATGGCAGAAAGGAAGGGTGACAAGTTTTTGAAACCCACTCAGTGCAATCAGAATGAAAGATGGCAATTAACAAGGGTGATCATTTTCACAACCGACCCTGTACAATCAGAATGACATAAGAAAGAAAGATAGATGCATATCTGGCAGATAGGAAAACCGCCCAATGCAATCAAATAATAAAGCAGATTTCTGCAGTAACTAATAATAAGACGTTAAGAAATAGTATAAAAAACACAAGCACATGGATGTAATAACAGGCCAAAGAAAGGGGTAATTCTGGATTATAATGTTGAAGAACTAAACCACACAAAATGCCAAAGCAAGAGAGCTGGCGAAAGAAAAGTGTTCTTGTGAGTACATAAAGATGCGGACTATTTG